AGCCTTTTTCAGTGTTGGATCATGTTTAGCAGCCATTCCAACATTATTAATTTAGGATATATTTCAGTACCATACCATCACTAAATGAAACTTTAGTTAACACTGTTACGAGATATTAAGATTTAAATTTTTTCAACAGCATAAAAGCCACAAGTTCCAATGCACACAAACCACAGCATGGCTTACCCACTTCTGTCAAAGATCAGGAAATACTTCTACCAGCTAAAGTGGCTCCACCATATGACAGAAATAAAAAATTCTTTGAAATAAATGAAAGGAGAGACACAAGATACCAAAATCTCTGGGATGCAGCATAAGCAGTGGTAAGATGAAAGTTTAGAACACTGAACACCTACACTGAGAAGTTAGAAAGATTTCAAATTAACTATCTAATATTACATCTAGAAGAACTTGAAAAACAAGAACCTCAAAGCTAGCAGAATAAAAGAAATAACTAAACTCAGAGCAGAACTGAATAAAACTGAGAACCAAAAATCTACACAAAGGATCAACAAAACTGAAAGTTGGTTTTTTGAAAGGATAAACAAAATGGATAGCCCACTAGCTAAACTAACAAAGAAAATAAAAGAGATGATCCAAATAAGCACAATCAGACATTACAAAGATGGCATCACAACCAATCTCATAAAGATACAAGGATCCTAGAGACTATTATGAACACCCCTATGCACACAAACTAGACAACCTAAACACACAGACCAAAAGAACAGAATAGAGGACTGAGGAATAAAGCCGTACATTTAGAAAATCTGATATTTGACTAAGTCAACAAAAATAAACAACGAGGAAAGAACTCCCTATTCAATCAATGGTGCTGGATAGCTGGCTGTTACCTGCAGAAGAATGAAACTAGACCCCTACCTATCACTGTATACAAAATTTAACTCAAAATAGATTACTTAAATGTAAGACCTAAAACTGCAAAAATCCTAGAAGAAAACCTCAGAAATGCTCTCCTGGAAACTGGCGCTTGCGAAGAATTTTTATAACAAAGTCCTCAAAAGCAACAGCAACAAAAACAAAAATTGACAAGTGGGACCTAATTAAAGAGCCTCGGCACATTAAAAGAAACTATCAACAAAGTAAACACCCTACAAAATGGGAGAAAATATTCACAAACTATGCATCCAACAAAGGTCTAATATCTAGAATCTATAGGGAACTTAAATCAATAAGCAAAAAACAAATAACCTCATTAAAAAGTGGGCAGAGGTCTGGGCACGGTGGCTCACACCTGTAATCCTAGCACGTGGGGAGGCCAAGTCAGGCAGATCATAAGGTCAGGATTTCAAGACCAGCCTGGCCAACATGGTGAAACCCCATCTCTACTAAAAATACAAAACAAATAGCCAGCTATTTGTTTTATGTACCTGTAATCCCAGCTACTCAGGAGGCTGAGGCAGAAGAATTGCTTTAACACAGGAGGCAAAGGTTGCAGTGAGCCGAGATCACTCCACTGCACTCCAGCCTGGGCAACAGAGTGAGACTCCATCTCGGGAAAAAAAAAAGTGGGCAGTAGTCAGGCATAGTGGCTTATACCTGTAATCCTAGCACTGGAGAGGCCAAGGTGGGCAGATTGCTTGAGGTCAGGAGTTCCAGACCAGCCTGGCCAACATGGTGAAACCCTGTCTCTACCAAAAATACAAAATTTAGCTGGGCTTGGTGGTGGGTACCTCTAATCCCAGCTACTCAGGAGGCTGAAGCAGGAGAATTGCTTGAACCTGGGAGGCAGAGGTTGCAGTAAGCCAAGATCGCACCATTGCACTCCAGCCTGAGCAATAGAGCAAGACTCTGTATCAAAAAAAAAAAAAAAACAACAACAACAACAAAGTAAACACCCCACATAATGAGAGAAAATATTCACAAACTATGCATCCAACAAATGTCTAATATCCAGAATCTCTAGGGAACTTAAACAGATCAACAACTAAAAAACAAATAACCTCATTAAAAAGTGGGCAGAGGTCAAGCGTGGTGCTCACTCCTGTAATCCCAGCACTTTGGGAGACCGAAGTGGGCAGATTACTTGAAGTCAGGAGGTCAAGACCACCCTAGCCAACATGGCAAAACACTGTCTCTACTAAAAATACAAAAATTAGCTGGGCATGGTGGTGCACCCTTGTAATTCAAGCTACTCAGGAGACTGAGGCACAAGAATCACTTGAATTCAGGACACAGAGGTTGCAGTGAGCTGAAATTGCACCACTTTACTCCAGCCTGGGTGACTGTGAGAATTTGTCTCAAAATAAATAAATAAATATTTAAAAAAGAAGACATACAAGTGGCCAACAAACATGAAACACGACAAAATACTCCACTTTGCAAATCAAAACCACAATGAGATACCATCTTGCACCAGTCATAAAGAATATCATTAAAAAGTCGGGGTTGTCAGCGCTCCAGCTGGGGCCTTACAACGGCCTGCTTAAAAAAAAAAAATTTAAAAATTAAAAAAAAAAAAAAAAAAGAATATCATTAAAAAGTCAAAAAATTACACATGTTGGCAAGGCTGCAGAGAAATGGAAACACTTATACAGTGCTGGTGGGAATGTAAATTAGTTAAGCCACTGCAAAAAGCAGTTTGGAGATTTCTCAAAGAATGGAACTAGCATTCAACCAAGCAATCCCATTACTGGGTACATACCCAGGAGAAAACAAATCATTCTACCAAAAGACACATGCTCTTGTATGTTTACCTCAGCGCTATTCATAATAGCAAAGATATGGAATCAATCTGGGTGCCCGTCAATAGAGGACTGGATAAAGAAAATATAGTACATATATACCACAGAATATGCAGCCAAAAAAAAAAGGACAAAACTATGTCCTTTCCAGCAACAAGAATACAACTCAAGGCCATTATCCTAAGCAAATTAACACAGAACCAGAAAAGCAAAGTAGTTCTCACTTTTAAGTGTGAGCCAAATACTGGGTCCTATGTACATAAAGTTGGGAACAGTAGATACTGGGGACTACCAGAAGGGGAAAGGAGAGGGACAAGGATGAAAAACTATCTATTGGTTATTATGTATACTACCTGGGTGACAGGATTATTCATACCCCAGACTTCAGCAACACAGGATACATCCATTTAAAAAACCTGCACATGTACTCGCTGAATTTAAAAAAAAATTGGAAAAAAAAAAAAAAAAAAAAAAAGACATGAACAGACACCACTCAAAAGAAGACACAGACAGCTGGGTATGGTGGCTCACGCCTGATACCCCAGCACTTTGGGAGGCCAAGGCGGGTAGATCACGAGGTCAAGAGATCGAGACCATCCTGGCTAACATGGTAAAACCCTATCTCTACTAAAAATACAAAAAATTATCCAGGCATGGTGGCAAGCGCCTGTAGTCCCAGCTACTCAGGAGACAGAGTCGGGAGAATCACTTGAACCCGGGAGGCAGAGGTTGTGGTGAGGCAAGATTGCACTTGAGCCTGGGTGACGGAGTGAGACTAGGTCTCAAAAACAAAAAAGAAACAGACATAAAAGCGGCCAATAAACCTATGAAAAAATGTTCAACATCACTAATCACCAGAGAAATGCAAATCAAAACCACAATGAGATACACATCTTGACTTCAAGACAGGTTTGAGTCTTAGCCCTCTCACTTGCTGCATGCATAACCAGGGAAAATTAATTTCCATGAGACTCAGTTTCTTCAACTATCAAAGAGAGACTAAAAGAAAAAATCTACTTCATTTAACATATGCGGGAATGTAGCATACACTCAAATTCTAGTTGTTATAATTAGTTTAAAACTAGCAAAAAAAAAAAAAGTAGATTTAGATATTCAAGGCTGGGCATGGTGGCTCACACACGTAATCCCAGCTACTCAGGAGACAGAATCAGGAGGATCACTGAAGCCCAGAAGGTCAAGGCTGCAGTAAGCTGTGATTGTACCACTGCACTCCAGCCTGGGTGACAGAGGGAGACCCTGTCTCAAAAAAAAAAAAAAAAAAAAAAAGATATTCAGCAAATATTATTGAGTGCCAACTCTGAACAAAGCCTACTCCATAAGGTTACCTAACAGTCTTTCAAAAACAAGTAATCTAATAAGAGAGAGGTCCAGTCTCTCTAAAAAGGAAAACTGTTATAAGCATTAACAAAGAGAGGTAGATTTAATACATCATGGGAAAACGGAAGAAAGAGAAATTAACTGTGATCTAGAAATGGTTTTATAAGTGTAATGTGAACTATGCCTTGAAAGAAGCCTAGTCAGATATGTTCCTTGAGCCTTATTCCAGACTAGTGGTTCTCAAACTTGAACATGCATCAAAATCACACACACGCTGTTAAAACACGCAATGCTGGGCCTATCCCAAACTTCGTGACTCAGTGAGTCTGGGGCAGGGGCGGCAGGCAGGGGAGAAGTGTCTGAAAATCTGTATTTACCAGGTGACACTCATGCTAGTAGTCAAGGAAACCCTCTTTGAGAACTCCTATCCTAGGCACGCAGTGCTTGAACAAAACTGACAGGTGATGTACAGGGTACGCCTGAGGAAGTGTAAAAGGGCAGTTGCAGGAACACCGGATTTGCACATGTAGTTAAGGCATATGGTCAGAAGTCTAAAAATGAAAACTTTCTAAACAAAGCACTTTCTAGGATAAGTTACCTTTCCTAGGAAGGCGAGCTGACATTCAAGATATTTAACTACCCTCTGTGCTATCACACTTTTTTCTCTCGACCTGGTATCTTTTAACTGTACTCCCTACCATCAGCTTTGCATCACACACGTAAACAGTAAGGTAAAGAGGCCTAATCTTACAGCAGATTGATTTCTGGCCACGAGTTATTTAAGTGTACAAAGAACAGAACAGTGTCACTCTATTATTCTTTATAAATAAGAATATAACACTAACACATCCTAAATGTTAACATTTTACCTAGCATGCCATAGGTTAAACTTCTTCAAAAAAAAATTTGAAACCTAACAGTTTTACTTACGCATTTTAAGAAATGTTTCATACTCACCAAAGCCATCAATATCTAGATTATTTTCAACCACAACATCTAGGAGAGAATCACCAACTTTTCCTTTGGTTGTTAATGTTTCACCATCACGGTTTACAAAGTGGACTGTTATTTTATCTTCTGAGCTGGAAAAGAAAGCAGTCCTTTAGTATTTTTAGTAATTTCAAAACATAATGTAAAATAATTAGTTTAAAAGCCTATAAAGCCTCCAGAGTAGATGGGACTACAGGTGCCCAGCACCACACCTGGATAATTTTTTTATTTTTATTTTTTGTAGTGACAGAGTGTCACTATGTTGCTCAACTGGTCTCAAATCTTAGCCTCAAGCAGTCCTCTCAACTTGGCCTCCTTAAACTCTGGGATTACAGGCCTGAGCCACCATGCCTAGCCGAAAGTATTTTCTTTTCTTTCCAAAATTTATTTGAGAAGAAGGCATAACACATCTACCCACCTACCAGGTAATAAAAGACATTTGGCAATTATTATCACTCATGAAGTCTATTTTACTCTCATAAAAGCTGGTGCAGGGGCTTGCGCCTGTATTCCCAGTACTTTGAGAAGCTGACGTGGGAAGATTATTTGAGATCAGCCTGGGCAACATAGCAAGATCCCACCTTTACAAAAAATAAAATAATTAGCCTGGTGTAGTAATACGACCTGCAGGCCCAGCTAATTGGGAGGCTGAGATGGGAGGATCCCTTCAACCCAGGAGGAAGAGAAGGCTGCAGTAGAATATGACTGCACCACTGCACTCCAGCCTGGCCAACAGGGCGAAACCTGTCTCTACTAAAAATACAAAAATTACCTGGGCATCGTGGTACATGCCCATAATTCCAGCTATTCAGGAGGCTGAGGCAGGAGAATTGCTTGAACCCAGAAGGCGGAGGTTGTAGTGAGCCAAGATCACACCACTGCACTCCAGCCTAGGGGGTAGAGTGAAACTCTGTCTCCAAAAAAAAAAAAAAAAAAGAAAGAAAAAGCAAATCATTCTGCTCTTAATAGGGCGACTGCTGTGCAAGTGCTACATAGAATACTATCGCTGAGAAAAGTTGTTTAATAGTTTTCTGTGTATTTGACATCTCATCAGTCCACATTATATACTTACAAATCGAAGGGACTAGAAAAAGTTTTTTATTTGTTTGAATCTGTAAGATAAATACTTCCCTACATGTTTTATAAGATAGTTTGTTAGCTATCAGCTAGCAGACTTAAATTTCTTTCACTTCTCACAAACATCCCTCCAAAACTTGAGAAAAGACATTATACTAGCAATTAGATCCTTATTCCTCCACTATTGTTCATTTTAATTTTAACCTCACATTTAAAAAGATTCTCAACTTAAAATAATGAGTTGTTATTCTTACTACTACCAATAGATGGCAAGAGCCCATCAGCTACATCTTCAAGTAAAACTCAGAATTAAATAATTTCAGAGCCATAACTATCTTGAAAATTATCAAGTCCAGTGATCCCATTTCACAAATGAGACAACTGAAGCCCTCCCTAATATTACAACACTAGAAAAAACCAGGATTCTATTAATTAAAACTCATCAAAATGTTGTGTGTATGTACGGGAATGTTCCTCAAAAGGGCCTGTGCTCTCCAACTTTTTTTCACAGCCAAAAATGCTTTAAAACTAGTATTCCCACACATTATTCGTGATTTTCAACAAGATAACTGCCATTTTTTCAAAGTAGAATGGCTGAGAATGAAAATACCCAGGAAGCAGAAAGACCACTCTAGAGGTTATCAAAAGACCACAAACTAAGCAAGGACAGAGAACACAGTGACTTAATAGACATCCAGGAGGTAGACCAAATTTTAGTGACCATCTACATAAGATAAACTGAAAAGGGAGGAAGAAAAACACTGGGATTTCCAGCTCACGCAATTAGGTGGTACCATTTAACCTAGGTTTAAGACAGGAAGCAAGGAGGGGTGAACCGGCCCAGGTCGGAAACGGAGCAGGTCAAAACTCCCGTGCTGATCAGTAGTGGGATCGCGCCTGTGAATAGCAACTGCACTCCAACCTGGGCAACATAGCAAGACCCCGTCTCTAAATAAATAAATAAATAAGACAGGAAGCAAAGGAGCTTTGGGGAAGATGGAAATAAGTTCAAGCTTAGACCTGCTTAATTCAACAGTGAAAAAGCTAGATAAGAATGTCCAAAAGCCAGATGGAAATATGGGTATGGGTCTGAGCCCAGCAGAGAAGTCTAGAGATTTGACATCAATGAAAGCCTGGTAGCTAAAGCTACAGGAAGCACATTAGAAAGAATTCCATCATTTATAAACACTACCGAAAGCCAGAGTTTTTAGTGTTGCTGTTCTTCTGAAGCACTCTACAGCTAAGCTTACAGCAAAGGAATTTGAAATCTCTTTTACAACAGCCCCGTCTTCTATAAAATCAGGACATTATAGTTCTGACAATGCATGCAAAATACGTAACACAGAGTAGACTTCAACAAACACTGATTAATAACGTTTATTTAAAGACCAAGCCCTTTTGCTAAGAAGCCCAACCTGCTGGTCTGTATTAAAGGCGTACAGCCTTACAAAATAACTGCCAAGTAAGAATATTAATAGGTTTACCAAAGAATAGGAGAGGAACTGGAAATGAGAGAAAAAGGTAATTCTTCAGTTGAAAGAGTATGGAACCTAGGAGTCGGAAGCTGTAGATATTAGGCTGGGCACGGGTGTTCATGCCTGTAATCTCAATACTTAGGAAGGCTGAGGCAGGCAGATCACTTGAGGCCAGGAGTTTGAGACCAGGCTGGCCAACATGGTGAAACGTTATCTCTACCAAAACAGTGTGCAAGTGTGGTAGCATGCACCTGTAATCCCAGCAATTCAGGCGGCTGAGGCACGAGAATCGCTTGAACCTAGGAGGCAGAGGTTGCAGTGAGCCATGATGGCACCACTGCACTCGGGTGAAGGGTGCACCAAAACCTCCAAAATCACCACTGAAGAACTCACCCATTAACCAAACACCACCTGTGCCCCAAAAACTACTAAAAAAAAATTTTTTTTGGAAGAAAGCAGCTTTATTGAGACAGCAGCACTGTTATAACTCCCTTTTTTTTTAAATTGCATTTTAGGTTTTGGGGTACATGTGAAGAACATGCAAGATTGTTGCATAGGTACACACATGGCAGTGTGATTTGCTGCCTTCTTCCCTTCACCTGTATCTGGCATTTCTCAACCTGCTATCTCTCCCCAACTCCCCACCCCCCGCAACTACTGAAATTTTAAAAACAAATAGAAATTAAAATTTTTTTCAAAAATCAACAAAACTTCTTGAGTTCTAGTCCTAGTTTTGCCAACTAATTAATATGAAATTTTTATTCCCATTTATCTATCCTCCCTACCTCATAGAATTGTCTTAAGAGTCATGTGAAATAATGCACATGAAAGCTCTTTGTAACCTAAATCACCGCAAAATATAAATTATTGTGTCGCGGTATTTTAGAGTAAAAGGTTTTTCCGACTCTGAATTACTGATAGCTTATTGAGTTGTTAAACTTCAAAGAACTAGTTTCTAGGACTGCTCTGTCTGTCCATAAGAACTCTGTGCCATAACAAAGGTGTTCTCCACATACCTGCAATGTCCAATACAATGTCCAATACCCACATGTGGCTACCGAGTACTTGAAATGTAGCTAGTGTAACTGGGAGATTGAACCTTTAATTTTATTTACCTTTAATTATCTTAAATATCAATAGCCATATGTGATTAGTAGCTACCGTACTGGACAGCACAAGTCCCATTAACACAGTAAGAACTGGAAAATCTAGTAGTAGCTCCAAAGTCTGTAAGAGGAATTATAAGACCACGATTAGAAATTGTACCAATTTAAGAGGGCAGCAGGATTATGAGGAAGTAGATGTGTTCCCCTTTAAGACAACCTGACATATCCAAATCCGAACAAATCTGAGAGAGACAACTCCCAATTACTACAAAAACATTCGTGTTCCATTATACCAGTTACAAAAGTATGTTCAATATCTGTCCCAAGGTATACAATTGTCCAAAACTCATCTATTGTATAATAGAAAGCAAGGCACCCGCACAGGCCAAAGGCAGGGAAATGCAGAGGAAACAGGAACAAATATATCTGGCTTACCTTCTCCCTGATTTCCCCCAAAGTTCACGCAACAAAAATGTATGGCGTACCCCTTAGATAACGGGATTCGTGGGGAAACGATGACTGAAAGTCCTAGGCCCTGCTCTCAGGGACCTTCTCAAGAAGAAACTAGAAAAAGCAGCATACAAATCCAACACACACTTCCACTAGCTCTTGATTCCTGCTACCCCACATCATGGGGTCAAAGAGCTGTTGACAGATATGCATTATATAAATCTCCACCATGTTGCTAGACTCTGAAATTATGTGTAAATTTCATCTGTAATATATCTAAGGAGTGTCTCTGAAAAACAAATATGCCCGAGAACCTAAAACTTCAACACATTTGGGAGAAATTGGTCCCATCTTGCAATATTTAATACAAAACTCTCTTAACAATGTGAGCCTACGAGGCGGCCCGCGGCGGCAGCTGCTGCTGCTGCCACCGCTACCAGGTGACATCTACAGAACCCTCACTATGTGCCAGGCACAAGACTACCTGTATCGCTGTATTAACTCATCTATCCTTCAATTAACCGTAGGAGGTTTAAACTGTTATTATCTTCAAATGGGGAAACTGGGTTCCTAAGGGCTGACGACGTTAGACACGTCAGACAATCCCTACCAAAGCTAAGTTTCAAGTCCTGGCAGGCTACTTCAACGGAGGGGCTTTCAGCACTTGAGGAACTAGCAAAAGGCCTACAGGGCAGCAGAGGTATGGGCTCGATGTATTCTACCTAAACACTCCCTGACAAAGATCTGGGACCAGGGTGTCCTCCCACGGCAGGGCAAGGCCCTGAAAGAAACTGCTAGCAGGAGTGTCAGGCCAGGACAGCAGCAGGGAGCCTGTCACGAAGGTCACTACCAGTTGCAGGCAGAGCAAAGGTCAGATCCCAAACAAATCAAAAGGAGAACGAACAGCCGCAAACTGCCGGCTTTCCTGAGGGCACTGGAGGCGCTGGGAAAGGAAGCTGGGCGTCCAGGGTGGGTCCCCGATTTCCCCCGGGAGTGGCTGGTGCAGGAAGGAGCTTTGTGGTGAGACGGAAGGGAGGCAGCGACGCCACCGAGCAGCGAGACTGAGCCGCAAGGGCACCCCAAAGGAGAGGGGAGAGAGGCAGGCCTCCGGGGTGTGGGCCCGGCGCGCAGGCGCCCAGGACAGGCGGTGGAACCGGAGACCCTGCCCAGCGAGCCAGGCACTACCCACCGGGACCCCGGCTCTTGCCCGCGATCGCACCTGCACGGCGCCCTACCTGCTCTGCGCCCGCGCTGACACGCTCAGTGGACGGCTCGCCCCAGAGCTCCCCCGAGGCGCCCGGCTCCTCAGGAGGCCGCCCGCAACAGCGCGGGACCCAGCGTGGTGCAGCCACCGGCCTGCAGGGCCGCCGAGGACCGCGGAAGCGGCGCTCAGGAGCCGGGCGCCCCCAGCGGCGGCCATCGCCCGCGGTCCGGAACTGCGGAAAGCGACGCTAACTGCGCGCTGAGGCCGAGAGAGTCTCCGAGAGGCGGGGACCGCAGCTCCGGCGCTGACTCCTGAGGGCCGCGGCGAGGGGCGAGGGGCGCTGGGCTGGAGTGGCAGAGAGGCCCTGCCGCGAAGATCTCGCCGAGTCCCCGCGTGCCTTCCGGGTGACCTATAAAGACACTGGCGGACAGAGTGCGGCCCCGCCCCGTTCGCCCACGCCGCCCGGGCGCACGGGGCGGGGCCAGCGCAGGGAACTTTTACCTACCCTCCAGGTTCGGTCGTAAGCTGGATGCTTTTTTTAACGCCTGGAGTTGCCATGCAGACACAAAAAAATTTAAAAGATAGCTGGACGTCTAGCGGAAACCGGTTAGCTAGACCACTGTATTCTGTTCCGCATCCCCCCATCCCCCACCCGTTAAAAAAACTGGGAAATTGTGTCATCTAGGAGTCAAATTAGAGCAAAAGTGAATTCTGCGCACTGTAAAACAAGGACAGTGGGAAATTTTGGAAAATCTCAGAATGCTATTATACAAAGAAATAATTATGACTATAAAATTGTAAATGACAATAATGAATAGGCTTGGGGCTGCTGCAGAGGACAGGTGGCTGTCCTAGACTTTGGCAAATAAACGCTGGCTGAGTACATGAAACCCATGAGCCTGAACAGGAAACTTTGTGATGAGCTGAGATTTCTAAAAGACTTTTACAAAACCCAGGAAGATAAACTTCAAAATACACCTTATCATGGTTAATATGTTGAGGGAAATGCATGGGCTTTAAGGTCAGAAATAGAGATATTCCAATCCAAGGTCTACTACTTCAGAGATCTGAGACCTTGGAAAAATTATTCTCTTAGAGGATCAGAGTTTCCATAACTCTAAACACAGATAAGATGTCCCAGCCTTCAGGGCCATTCTGAGGATTAAACTAACACGCAAAACACACAGTGCGTCACAAACTAGAAAGGCTACTTTCTGGGTCTTCCTCTATCAGGGTACTCATAAAGAGGCTAAAGGCCAAAGACAAGGGGTTAGTGCAGATATGCTAAACACAATCAGATACCTTTTTTTTTTTCCAACATGGAGTCTCTATTGCCCGGGCTACAGTGCAGTGGCATGATCTCGGGTCACTGCAACCTCAGCCTCCCAGGTTCAAATGATTCTCCTGCCTCAGCCTCCCGAGTAGCTGGGACTACAGGTGTGCACCACCACGCCCCACTAATTTTTGAATACTCAGAACAAGAAAGTACAGACCTGAGTAAAGTCTCTCCAGAAAGTGTATGGTGCTTTCTTGAACCCAGTGGCAGAGGAGAAGGCAATGGCTCCTAATTTCTCCAAATTTTTGGATGAAGAGAAAGTCTTTCAAGCTGCGAAGGGTGCAGCAAACCTTGACAAGTAATCCTGAAAAGGAGGTTGTAAAAGAACAGTTAACTTTTTTAAAAAAATCAAATCAAACCTCCAAGGTCGGATGAATTAGTTGTAGGAAGAGAATTGGAAAGAAAAAAAAAATTGTAGATGTTCCCTCTTCTCTCAGCCCTCCTATAGCAAATACAATTTCAACTCCATTAAGGTACTTTATAGCTTTCTGCTTTGTAGAGCAGTTCTTTGTATACATAGAATAGTTGTTTATATATTCATCTTAATAACTCGTACAGCACCAGCTACAGGGCCTTGAACATGTCAAGGGTCCAATAAATATTTGTGAATAAATTAATGTTACATAATTTCCATTAATCATCAGAATTATTTAAGCATGTATATGAAGATTAAAGAAAGAAAAAAATGTGCTCCAGGTTTTCAAAGGTGAATGAGGGGTAATGCCAAAAATTGTAAATATCAATAGTCAGCAGAATTCCAGAAGGAATTTGTAAACATGGTCATGAATACGGATAAAGCAACATGGAATTACTAATGACGTGCTTTTGCTTATCAGTTTGCTTATATATTACCTTGTCTATAAAACTCCCACCCCTCCATCTCTTTTTTTTCTTTTCTTTTTTTTCCTTAGAGATGGGGTTTTCTCATGTTCCCAGGCTGGTTAAGCAATCTGCCCATCTCAGCCTTCTAAAGTGCCGGGACTACAAGCGTGGGCCACCGTGCCCAGCCCATCTTTTACTCCTTTCAAAATCCATTCATTGTTCGAAGACTTTTGTCTTAGTCTGTTTATGATGCTATAAAAAAATACCACACAGACTGGGTAATGTGTAAAGAACAGAAATTTCCTTTCTCACAATTCTGGAGACTGGGTCTCCCAGGGTCAAGGTGCCAGCTGGTTTAATGTCTGATAGAGGCCAGTCTCTGCTTCCAGGATGGTATCTTGTTGCTGTGTCCTCACACGATGGAAGAAGGAAGGGCAAACATGCCTAATTTCCTCCAGCCCTTTTATAAAGGTGTCAATAGAGAAAAATGATGAGACAACGCTCAATCGTTTTAGGAGATTTATTTGCTAAAGTCAAAGATGCATGCCCAGGAGACAGTTGTATACCTTTCTCCTAAGATGATTTTGAGGGCTCCAAACTTAAAGGGAAAAAGGTGGGATATTGAGAAGTACATAATTTTCAAGTATGAGGGGAATAAGGAAGAATACTCATTCATGCCTTTGCCTAGCTCAGTGAATCTGCATTTTTTTACATAAGTGATTCTCCTGTCTCAGCCTCTCGAGTAGCTGGGACTACAGGCATGCGCCACCACACTCCAATAATTTTTGAATATTCAGAACAAGGAAGTGTAGACCTGAGTAAAGTCTCTCCAGTGAATCTGCATTTTTCACATTTGACATAGACAAATGGAGTAGAGAAAAATGCAGGAAATCTACATTTTTACGTAAGATAACATAGACAGAATGGGGCAGGGGAACAATGAGACATGCATTTGTGTGTGGTGGGCATCGAGGTGACTGCATCTGTAAACACAATCTGTCAATTTACAATGCCATGGTGAAATTTTAACAGAAATACCTTAAAAGATCTTGCAGATCACTAGGAATTTCTTTGTGGGTAAAATATGGAGGAGGCCTGTAGCTTTTCATCCTGTAGCCATCTTATTTGGAAACCAAAATGGGGAGGCAGGTTTGCATAACCTAGTTCCCAGCTTAACTTTTCCCTTTAGCTTAATGAGCCTGGGGTCTCCAGATTTAATTTCCTTTCACATTTTCCCTTCTTTTTAAAAAAATCTTTTGGAGAAAGCATTTTTGAGGAAGCAATACAACTTTCTGGCCTAGCGTTGCTTTTTCTGCCTTTTTTTTTTTTTTTTTTTTTTTTTTTTGCTTCTTTTGTTTGGTTTGGTTTTTGTTTTTGCTGTTGTTTTTGAGCTGGTTTCCCCTCACTACGATGGTTAACTCTTAGAAGTTCAGGTCTCACGTTACTAGGAAGGATCATTTCTCAAAAAAAATCATGTCTCACGTTGCTAGGAAGGCTCGTTCCTAAGAAGTTATGCCTCACAAAGATTTAAAAAAAAAAACAGGGAAGAATGAAAAGAAAAAATATATATATACACTTTATTTATATATTTTATCCAGGGGATGGGCGGGGTGGATACAGAACAGAACACAGTAGTCTAGCTAACTGGTTTCCGCCAGACGTCCAGCTATCTCTTTTTTTTTTTTTTTTTTTTTTTTTTTTTTTTTTTTTTTGAGACGGAGTTTCGCTCTTGTTACCCAGGCTGGAGTGCAATGGCACGATCTCGGCTCACCGCAACCTCCGCCTCCTGGGTTCAGGCAATTCTCCTGCCTCAACCTCCTGAGTAGCTGGGATTACAGGCACACACCACCATGCCTAACTAATGTTTTGTATTTTTAGTAGAGACGGGGTTTCACCATGTTCATCAGGATGGTCTCGATCCCTTGACCTCGTGATCCACCCGCCTCGGCCTCCCAAAGTGCTGGGATTACAGGCTTGAGCCACCGCGCCTGGCCAGCTATCTTTTTTAAATTTTTTGTTTATACATGGCAACTCCAGGCGCTAAAAAAGCATCCAGCTTAGGACCAAGCCTGGAGGGTAGGTAGAGGTTCCCTGCTCTGGCCCCACCCCGTGGGCCAGGGCGGTGTGGACGAACAGGGCGGGGCCGCACTCTGCTCGCCAGTGTCTTTATAGGTCACCCGGAAGGCACGCGGCGTCTCCGCGCGCTCTTCTACTTTAGAAGGCTGAGGTGGGCAGATTGCTTAACCAGCCTGGGAAGAAGGCAAAACACCATCTCTAAGGAAAAAAAGAATATGTATGTATGTATGTATGTATGTATGTGTGTGTGTAAATATAAAATGAAACTGGGTCAGGTTATATTACTGCCTCCTCAATTAGAGAAATTCCCTGGGCAATCATTACCCTAGCCCTTTCAGTTGTGCGTGGACTTACAGTATTTGCAAGCACATACCATAACAACGTTGTAAGCAGAAACAAGACAGAACAGAAATTATTACTATTATTACTATTATAAGCAACAGCTTCTGCCACCAACTTCCCCAAGATCCAAACCAACCACTCAACCAATCGATTAGTGAGGGTTTTGGATCTGGCAGCTTGGTTATCGGGTTTTCATATCAGTCATAAGTCAGGTTATGTTCTTCGATTCATGTGGAATATAAACACAACATTCAGTTTTTATGATGATGCTGGTCTCCTGCTGTGCTGCCGCAAGTATACCTAAGGCCATATGGTTTTGCAACACAGCTTTCCTCAAAAGCATGACCTCGTTGTTTAGGAATGAGATACTCATCTGGCTATCACATAGGACCTTATTGGTATAATTCATTAAGGCCTCTATATGCTATATAATATCTTCAATACCTACCTTCAATCTTTAAGTATGAGGACTGAAGTTAAGTGATCATACCATTGGAATACTGAAGGTGTCCAGTGAGATTGTAAATGGAAAAGGCTTACTAGTTTTGGCAGGGTCTGAGTTACTCACCCTTGTGTCCAAGCATAACCTAGGGAACATTGTCCTAGTCACCCTGGAGGTGACAACAGCCGTAAGTTAATGCCACACAGCCAATATGTCCCATTTGGAGCTAGCCAACAAATACCTGGTTGCTACAACTGATCTGCGGCATGCCAGTGTCTTGTAATATAAGAATGAGTCACAGCGTTCCCCTGGTATCCAACCCATATTTCTCATACTGTTTGACCATAGGTCCTTGGTGTGGTTTCTTTTCCCCCAGGATTTTAA